TCTATAATGAATGATGTCTTTTCTTTGGAAAAATTCTATTGCAGACATTTTGTCATTGGGCAATTCCCAAATTGTTAGATCCATATCATTATCAAAAAAGAATTAAAAAAAATAAACCAGTATTTCAATGGCGACTTACAAATATTTCCCCCCCCCAACGGCGGGCCTTCAGCTTGGCCACAACTAAGGCCAGGTGGTGGTCACTTTATTATGGAGGCACCTAATAAACCAATAGGGGTGTGCGGAAAAATCTATGAAGGAACCAGCAGTTATAACCATGCCTTCTCCGGAATTCGAGCCCAGGCCTTGTAGTATCGCAGTCAGCTTCCCTAATCAATATATCGTGTGGGCGGTGACTTACAAATATAGAACTATTTAAATTTACGTGGTGTGAAATCGCCGCTTTCGCTAGATTTTGCGCATATATTTTTGCTGCAATTTGCTACGGCCCCTATAATGGAATTATACCACAAAATAGTACTTTTATTTGAATTGTGATGTTTTATACGATAAATAACACCAAGATTGAAAAATTCTTAAGCATACAAGTCTTGCACAATGAAAATATTTAAATTACCTTTACAAACCTAACTTAACATACTATGTCACTTTATGTTTCTCTTTATATAAGTAATGTACAATGACAAATTTTCATTATTTATAATATAATAAATTATGTTGATTTAGGGCCACTTTAACTGTATACTTAAAAACAAACAGTTTAAGAAATTGTGATTTTAAACATAGCATTAAGAAATATCATCATCCAAAAAAAAAAAAAAAAAAAAAGTTGCTTTTTACTGATTCTTGAATTTTTCAGTTTCGTTTCCTCATTTCTTTCAAGTGAATTTGAAGGAATGTTTTGTACATAATTGTTCAAACATATATTTAGAAATCCTGACAACACTCATGTTTATTATCTTGTACACAGCAAATTACATTCACAGCATCTTTTACTAATACGTACATACTATATTACAAAAATAACTGAGATGAGCCTCAGTTATTTTTGTAAGAAGCTGATGGTGTAGATGAAATGCTTTTCGTACTTTTTCAGATATAATAGTCTGGAAAAGTAAATATGCAACTGATATCAATGCCACCATATTTTCTGCTGGGTCTTTGAAACCTCCCAAATTTTACAGTATCAATATATATATAATAATTTGTTTCCTTCCACTAATGTTCCATTTTTTTCCGCCAAGATGCAGAAATCTATGCAAGCACTTTAGTTAGTTTCAGTATTACTTGCACAATAAACAGCAATTGTATGTGAAAACTTCTGCAACAGTGTCTGAAACTGCACCAATTTCACTGACCACTGGAAATAATTTCATTGATCAATACGTTTATGAACTTCTTTTACATCTGAAACTTCTGTAATAAACTGTTTTAGAGAGATGTATCGATAGGAATTAGAATGAAGCTGAAGAATAGACCTTCAATTAATGTTTTTTTTCTTTTATATTCCAGGATTTGCTGTACTGAAATATAGTAACTGCCTTCAGACATCTGATGAAAATCTGTACTCAAATTTGCGAGTTTGAAATTTACACGTTAAAATTAATTTTGACCTAATTACTAAAAGTTCTTGAATTCTATCTATAATAGCATATATAGTGTGAAAAAGAGCAAAAAAATATTTCCTTGCGTAAACATTTGAAATGACTTTTTTTTATTATCGTTGTTATTAATCTCACTGACAACACCTACGCTAATTCAAATGAAACGCGAAACGCTGGCGAGAAATTACAATAGGTTTACCATCATTTGTTGGCGATAAAAAGAAACGGCGTATGCGCAGTTCGTTCAAAAGATTTTCTCATAGGGAGCCGTTCACAGCCATCCCTGTTTTGAGACGCTAGTGATGGCCTTGGTTTAGGGGCGATTTTTCGCACCCCATCGAGAAGGCCAAAAGTTTGTGACGTCATTAAACTACGAGCCTTCTGTAGGGAGGCTTGTATTTAAGAAGGTGTTGGCAAAAATACCCGTTCTCCGAACGTATGTACGAGGTACTGGTACAGATAGGTGAATGTCGTTCTATTGATCAAAGAATTGCGAAAGCGGTAGAAAATTCCAGTACATTCCATATTCTTTTGCCAATATTACACACGTTTGAATTTCTATCAAGATTTTAATAATGAGATACATTCCGGTGACGTCGAAGGTCACGTGATGTAAGAACTGCTAATGTAAACAAACAAGCTTGTGCTGCGGTAGAAGTGTTGAAAAATTCGGAAACTTTGTTTATTTTTAATTTAGGGTGAAAATGTGCTTTAGCCCACTACTTGGCGATTTTCAGTAGTGCCGATTTTTTGAAAATCGCCAATAAAATCTCAGAATACGTTGCGTAAACAAAGTTGCTAAGGCGGATCTAAGTGACGTCCATAAATAGGTGGGACTAAAATTGTGACGTCACAATGTATTCCCTATAGATATAGAAATAAGTATAATAAATTCTTTATATTTTAAGTTATAATAATGCAGTAAGTGAATTGTACCAGTTATTAAAACTGTAAACAACGTCGCAGTCTCTCATATTTGTATTTCATACAGCATCAGAATATTCAAAGATTTTAGAATTTACACAAATAAAAAAAGATTTTTATTATTAAATTTACTGCGGCAATTATATCAGAATGTTGCAAATTATTGCGTGTCTTTGAAATAAAATAGTATATACTCCGATTTACATTAAATCTATTAATATAAGGGCTTAATAAATTTCAAGACTTACCCCTTTGATTATTTTTTTGATGCTGGATTATTCCGAATAGCTACTAGAAAAATATACTAACTTCTTCTTTTGTGAATGATTCAACGTAAAATAAATCATACACGATTTTGATTTTTTTAAGGGGGGTTTATATTGACATAACATTATTTACATTTTTAGTTTAAAGGGATAATCATTTAAAGAACAATATCCGATTACAGCCGATTCAAAAACTATCAAAAATCGAGTTCAAGTTCTTAAAAAAAAGTGCTAGTTCTACGGTTTTCGTTTTTACTTAGGAAAGAAATAGAGAATTGCACAAACTGGGCATTGCGTGCTACATTGGCTTTACCCATGAACACACCGATCTATTTTCACTTTAAAAAAAATCAGAGAATCGCACAAACTTGGCATAGCGCACAACCTCGGCATTGCCACCACACTGGCTTTGCCCATGTGCACATCGATCTATTTTCACTTAAAAAAAAAAAAAAAAAAAAAAAAATCCCAGAATTGGTTTTGCTTATGTGCAAACTCGGCACAAACTCGCACAACCTCGGTATACACATTCGCTTCGCCCATGCGCACATCGATTTATTTTCACTTGAAAAAACATCCCAGAATTGCACAAACTCGGCATTGCGCACCCCATTGGCTTTGCCCATGTGAACTTCGATCTATTTACACTTCAAAAAACATCCCAGAGTTGCACAAACTCGGCATCGCGCACCACATTGGCTTTCCCCATGTGCACATCGATCTATTTTCACTTCAAAAAATATCCTAGAATTGCACAAATTTGGCATCGTGCACAACCTCGGCATTGCGCACCACATTGGCTTTGCCCATGTGCACATCGATCTATTTTCACTTCAAAAACATCCCAGAATTGCACAACCTCGGCATTTCGCACCACATTCGCTTCGCCCATGCGCACATCGATTTATTTTCACTTGAAAAAACATCCCAGCACTGCACAAACTCGGCATAGCGCACCCCATTGGCTTTGCCAATGTGCACTTCAATCTATTTACACTTCAAAAAACATCCCAGAGTTGTACAAACTCGGTATCGCGTACAACCTCGGCATAGCGCACCAGAGTCGTAGCTAGGGTTTTCAGCGCCCAGGGACAACTGAAGATTTCGCGCCCCCTACTGCTTGCCAAGGATGGAAAACATTTAATTCTAAAATGTCGTAACATCAGTTTGGCGCCCCTTGGATTCTGCGCCCGGAGACATATGTCCCCCTCTAGCTGCGGCCCTGTAGTGCACTGCATTGGCTTTCCCCATGTATCTATCGGTCTATTTTCACTTAACATCAGAGAATTTCACAAACTCAGCTTTTCCAATCTTCTAGAATCGAGCCAAAAAGAAATACAAAATATTAAAAATAAGAAACTTTAAAACGAACCATACATGAAAGTTTTTTTCACTTACCCTTTTCAAGAAAATATGTAAAATCTTTTTGAGGGGTTTTATATATGTATATTGAATTTATCTCAGGGAGAAACCCTTTTGGATCCCCCTCATCTTTAAATAAATTTACTAACGTTTTATACTACATTTCCGTAATATATGCAGAAAAAAGGCAAAAACTCACAGAAGGAAAAATACTCGATTAAAAAAAGAACCACCACATAAGAACATTCAAACCGCAACAGAATTAACAGCTCAAATTAACAAGTAAAAATTTTTTTAAAAAAATTAAAGCTTTCAGATTTTACATTATGCCCAAAAGAGCGTTTTTTTAACGTTTTCTGTGTTACCTTTCTTTATCAAATATAATGTTCTTTACACTTAAACCATAAAATTCAGTTCAACAGCAATATCGCAAAATAATTTTAAAATGAGCATATCTTTAGAATTTCCGATACACAGTTTTGCGCTTTGCACGTAATTTTTTTCCCCCCACGTACTGTGCTGCCATTGTTCGCTTTGAAATCTTTGAGTTTGTTAATCAAAAATTTGTTCAAGTTTTACAAAATGTCAAACAGATAATAAAAAAATTTCCAAATTCCAAGTTTCCCATATTAGTTTGGTAACGTACGTTATTCAAAATTTGATGGCTCTAGGTACCGTTGTTTTATCACAATGCGAGAAACATTTATGCAGACTTTTCAATATTTAATTTCTTTAAATATAACACAGGGCGATAACATCTAGTGGCAACAAAATAACAACACAGCTTCAAAACATCGGGTTAGCCATGTTGGCGCGTTTATTGCCCACTGAAAAACAATCACCAAGCAGTGGGCTAAACCGCATTTCAACCTTAATTTAGTTATGAAATATGCCTTTCATCTTTAATTATTATTTCATCCATTAATTAACTGTTCATTCATTCGGTTAGTATAATTTTGGTAACTCTTATATGTTATTGTTATTTTCATGATAATCTTTTGTTAGCTGCTTTACCAAGTTTTGATTGTTAATATTTATTTATGAAAGTAAAAATGAGTACATAAAATCATGTTTACATAGATTGCTCTTCTACACTGAAAAGAAAATTACTATTAATATTTTTAAATCATAATTTTATCAGCTTAACATCAGAACAGTAAATATAAGTAGTTGGTTTCTCAAAATCACACTATAAATGCAGTTGGCCCTTAAATCATGTAAGGATAACGATGGCAATGTTCTGCGCAGTTCAAAATTAATATATAATTTTATACAACTTAAAAGTTTAATTTTTAGCAACTGACTATTATCCTATTGGTAGTATAAACTGCAAATCAACACATTTTGTATACTATAATGTAAATGTCAAAAAGAAAATATAGATTTTTGCAACTGAGTTCACTGCAGTACTAGCTGTGAAACTAATAATTTTTCATAATATATTTTTCTTCATTTTATAATAATAAATAATAATAAAGTACTATCTGTATACATTTTAAACATTCAAAAAATAAATTTGAAGTTATTTTTAAGTTTGTAAGTTACATAACTTATGTGCAGAATTTTTTTATTTTAAAATCATGTAGCTCAAACAGATTTTAAAATGTACTAGCGGGCTGAAGCCCGCTTCTCATTGTTCGTGTGTATGAGAGTTCCCATTGTAATTTCGCCGGTATTCGAAAGTTAGACCGAACTACAAGTGTTCAGCGGTTTTGCGTGGGCTGCGCCCACTTTGTTCACATATGCATGGAGAAGATACTGCATAAACAATAACATGCGTAAGATCAAGAAAACACTTTTGGAACCAGCCGGTACGCCGGGATCGAAAGTTGGACCAAATTACCAGTGTTCATTTGTGCGGGCTATGCCCGTTTTATTCACATATGCATCCAGAAGACACTGCATACATGACACACATGCGGAAAATCACAAAAACACCCATGCAACCAGCCTGCTCGCCGGGATTCGTAAGTTGGAGCGAACTACCAGTGTTCAGCTTTCTTGCGCGGGCTGCGCCCGCTTTATTCCCTTATGCAACCTTATTTTAATCTAAACTAAAAATAAACTAATTATGAAAACTTCCTCTAGTCTTTCAGAGAAAATTTACAAAGTGGAACAAAACTTGAGATAAATAATATCACATTAGTCTTAAAATTTTTCTTCAATGTATAAATAAAAAAATGTTTGTTTGCATGTAAATTGTTATAAATTCTTTATTTCTCTTTGCAGCTTAACACTTAATGGCATTTTGATTCTAATAATTTGTAGGCTTGAAGAAATATTACTAGGAACCACCTTCATCATGGATCATAAGCCTTATCATCCAATTGGGTTTTTTCTTATTAATTTTCAACAATGTGTGTATGTGGGGGGAATCTGTTCACATATAAATGTATTCCCAAACAAAGCAATTATTCTTAGTTCAAAAATTCGTAACTGATTTATTTTTTGACAGAAACAAATAAAATTTAATAAAATACTGTTATGTTATTTTCTTCCTTCACGTTCGTAGATTTGGAGTGAAAAATGACGACACTTGATGAAGTATCGAAACACACTTTATTTAGCCAAAAGGATTTATTAATCAGGACAGCTCCAAAGTCACTTTTTACAGTCGTCGAAGATCTACTATGAACACGCTGGAACAATCAGCAACACAGTCTTCAGGCTATCATGGTGAAGACAGCTTCACGGTAAAACACTACAATACAGCTCCCGACTCTCCTCGGTTGTTCTCGAAACTCTACGTACTCTCGATGATACACAAGAGTACAGCTGTCAACTCGGTTCAGTCGTTCCCAGAGCTCAGCACTTTCTAAGACGAGACTCGACGATGCACTAACTCACGATACACTAAAGACTCTCTCAATGCACTCGACGATCAACTCGGCGCTAGACTTCGAGACTCGCTCAATCACTGACTATAAGCTCGCTAAACGAGGTACTAACTCGATACTAACTGACTCTCTGCGTACCAGCAGGTTTCATATAGCTTTTGACTGGTATTCGAGAACATTCTGGGCTAAACCGGTAATTCGTTCTAGAAGGTTCTCCATCCGTCCATGATATATCACCAAATGGGTGATTTCTCGCCAAAACAGGCCTTTACTTGCCATTTTGTGGCAAAACTAAAACTGCTTTGCGGGGAAGCTATCTCACCACGCCTGTACATTTCGTAACAATACGTATCTTCAAATCTTTGAATAAGATTTATATCACACTGTAAATTAATTAGCTTCATTTACTGATTTTCTGGTGCATTATTCACGTTCATTTTTAATGAAAATGATGTAAATTCGGGTTTCAAATAGAAATCTTTCCAACACCATATTAGCAAAAAATACGTAACTGAAATGTCCTTATGGGCCACTTAAATATGCTTCACGGGCTGCCAGTTTGAGACCACTGCATACTTGCCAACCTATGACACTCAAAAATCAGATTTTTCACAATGTTAAAAAGACTTGTGTTTTTGTATACGCACGTTTAAATGATAAAAATATAGTTTGTAATAATGAATTATCTTTAAATAGCTACTAATTCTTAAATGCAAGCTACACAAAAATACCTCACACATAAAAAAAATTTTTAGTACTTGCATCATTTAAAAAAAAAACAAATGTTATGACAGTATTACAAATGTTATGAACAGTGGCAGATTTTGCTTTCGTTATGGAAGAAACTTCATAATTTTGTTCATAGCAATCGCCATGTAGGCCTGCTTTCACTAATAAAAGTTTTTCTAATGTGTCATCACTAATATTAGATCTAAATTTAGTCTTCGTTTTTGCAACAACACTGAAAATCCTCTCACATTACTATGGGGAACTGTCAAGATGGCCAACATAATTCTAGACAGTTCACTATATTTTAAAATTCCATCAGCACCTTTCAGTTTTTCAATTAAACTCCACTGGGTGTCAATCATAGCTGAATTTATAACTTCATCCAAGTTTTCTAATTGTAAACTGCAATATTTATCAGTGGGAACATCAATATCATCATCTTTCATGACTAAATGAAGTAACACAGGAAATCTGTTCAAAAAGTATGTTATATCAGAAAACGATACATTTGCTAGAACAGAAACATCAGCAACTTTGGTATACAAAATCACTTCATCGTTGACTGGAAATTTATGTACTATGTAATCACATACGACAGAAGTAACTTCTAACATGAAGATAAAACTTATTTTTTTCTTCTTCTGAAAGTTCTTCCACTTCTTTTGTAGTTTTTGTAGTACCAAATCTTCATCTTTCTTCTGATTTTCTATTTCACCATACATCACATCATATATAGAATTACAAGACAAAACACAGACTGGTTTTACAAACTTTGATAAAATGTCTTGAAATAGATCATAAATCATTGATTGCAAAACATGAATTAATGGAATTCTGCTTTGTAGAACTGTGTTAAAAACATCGAATGATGGCAAAATGAAGTGGAAAAAAAAAAAAAAAAACCTTTGTTAAGGTCCGAAGGAAAAAAACATAAATATTCATTCTTTAGAAGATAAACTTACAGTAATCGGAAAATGTTTCGTGTGTTGAGCAATTTTTTTTTTTTATTTTGAGAGAAATTTGTTTCAGCTTTACGCTTATATTTTGCAGTATAATTTTGAGAACTGCCAGTTGAATTGTTGAATGGTGTAAAAATTATTTTCCTCAAACCTATTTTTAACAATGGAAGTAGTAACTACATTTCCGTTTACTTTAGGTATTTTATAACTTTCAATAGAGCCTTTTATCTTAACTCTCGAAGCATTTACTTATTCTTTAAAATGTGCAAGAAGTGGGTTCCATTGATCGAGGATTCTAGATAAGCATTTTTTTAAAGACAGCCAGCGTGTACACACGTTTCAAAAATTTTCTCATTTCAGTATTATGCAGCTCTTGGAACTGTTTCAATTTTTTCTTCCTTTTAGAACTCCTTTCAAGATAATAATAAATATCAATGTGTTCATCCACATTTATTGGTAAAGAAGCTGCCCCTTTTTCAGCTGCTAAATTTAAGAGGTGACTCATAATCTGCAAATCTGAATTTTCCTTTCTTAAGATGCCTGCGACACCAGTCTTCAAGCCTACCATTACTGGTGTATTATCGGCACCAAGTGCTTAAGCCAATTCGAGGGAACTGCATTTTCTTTTAAAGTTTTAATAATTAGCTGTGCTATATTAAAGTCTGTCGAATGTCCTTCTAAAGTGGGGACAGAAAGTAAACTCCACTCAATTTCTGAAGACTCTGGATTCAAAAAATAAACAATTGGATACAGTTTTGAATCGGTATTTTTGCTCCCATCTGTAGAGAGGCAGAATGGAGCTGTTTTAATGCAATCAATAACTGAAGATTTATTTTTTAAACCCATTTCTTTAACAATTGCACCTGTTTTGGTCCTTGCACTTGAGTATTTCTTAGCGATTTCACTATCGGGAACTAAATAAAGCTGTAGCATGATCCGATGCATTCGGTGGCAGGTTGTGCTCCAGCAAAAAGGCAGAGAACAGACATTCTGCATTAATAACTTTTTGGTCCTTTGTTTCCGAAGAAAAATTCAATTTTTCGTTTTTTTTTTTTTTTTTTTTTTCTCTTTAACAACTCTTGTTGTCCTTGTGTTTTTGTATACGCACGTTTGAGAACATCCTCGCTTTCACCATGCGAAATCGAAAAATCGCAACGACAGATGGTACACATCGCAAATTTATTACATTTCCTTGAGGAAATAATGGAAGGAAAGCCAACTGTGTACGATTTTTGAAACGTAAATGAGTATTTCATCTTTCTCGCAGACATAACAAAAGATGATAATTTTTAAAACTACTTCCTGAAGGCATGTGTACTCACACAACTCAGGACAAGATGAACGATATAACTAAAGAACATCCAAATAACAGGCTTGAGCTTGCTTTGTGCTTATTGGCTAATATATGCCAGATGACATGCAGTGGAGCTCGATGCCCATTGGAGAACTGGAGAACGACGTTTCTGGATATGTATGCTCTCACTCACAAAGCAGAAATTCTCATCTGATTCGCAAGGTCTTGTTTTAGATATAATCTAGAGAAAATTCAATTGCTTTCAGACGTCCAAAATCTTTTTTTTTTTTGTTCGTGTAACGAAGTATTAAGCCAAGTTTTATAAAAATCGAGAGAAATTTTAAGAATAAGAAAAAGCCGGGAGAAATATATCGTAAATCGAGTTGGCAGGAGAGTGGTAAAAAATCTGGAAAGCTGGCAACTCTGCCACTGTCTTAAGATATACCTATTGTGCCTATAGTCTCCTAGAATTGTTTTTAATTCTATCTTATAAGAACCTTAGTTTAGAACACAGAGAATAATGGATGGTGAAAATAAAAGAAAAGTAACATAAAGCACATTTCTTTACAGATGGAGCATGGAGCTTAATATAATCAATAATAGATTTTAAAGATTAGTGTAAATGTTTCATAATTTAGGGCATTACTTCCATAAGGAGCAAATTAGGACTTCCCGCAAGAGTTGAGTCTCACAATGGACTCCACCTTGTGCAGATGGGTGCAATATCCTACTGAAGATCCTACCCACATCACCTCTAATTGTGTGATGTTTGATGATGTTCTGGGCCTGATTCTGTGTGTCTCATTTTCCCCAGACCCTTACACACTTCTGATTCCAGGAGAAATCTGTACTCATCCATGAGCAGGACACTGCACCAATTTGAGATGGTCCAAATGTGACGTTGAAAACACCACTAGCCCCTCTGGATTGGGCAGTTAGTCGAACATAAACACTTGAAAAGCAAGCGTACAGTCACTTGATGCGATGCCTTTCATGCACAATACTGGCAGATACTGTCTTACCAAATAACATTCTAATGGTGGATGCAACAGTTGTGGAGGATAGTTATTGATTCTGCATGGCTATTATAGCAATATACCAGTCTTCCACTCCCACTTTAATGTGTCTGACAGCATACACATACCAGCACTCCACCATTAATTTTCTTTCAATCATCAAAAATTGCAACATCAAAAATTATTCTACAAATTATAAACTCTTCATATCAGCATTTAAATGAACCTCCTCAAGCTTTTCAGAAAGCTGGCAATTTCAATGACTGAACAATTCAATGACAATTTCAATGAATGAAATGTTATCCAAGGTATGGCCTAGCCTGTAGTTCAATTAATATATAATTAATTGGACAGCTGGTCATGATGATACAATATTTGCATACGTCTGCATCTGTAATGATTTTTAGCCACTCAAATTCAATTATGCTTTTGAAAAATGCTGATTTGTATTGCTTAACAGTTAGTTTACGTTAAGATATAAAATATAAATTTTTATAAATAAATATAACATTTGGAAGTCAATTTACATTAAGATATAAAATATTCCTTAAAAACACATAAAATACTTTTTCATTTTTAAGAGGCCAACCTTGTGATTACATAATCAACTTTTAAAACATTTTGATAAATTTACACCCTTTCTTCATAAATTCTTTAATACATCAAGTTTCATATATACATCAATAAATTATCACATTACAGTAAGACATTCGGTTCTTTTAAATTCCTTTTTTTTTTTAAACTACACAAACTTTTTTCTCCCTGAACTAAATCCAATAAAATAATATAGATTTTTTTCCCTCAGTGCATAAATATATCAAACTAAATTTTGAAATTAGCAGATAAACTCAGGTTAAGTGCAAAAGTATATTAAAGAAATGTTTAAAACACAATACTATTAAAAAATTAGTGCATTCATACTTTTTGATGTAAAATCCACTGTCACCTGAATCATTAATTGGTAATTAAGCCTGAATTTCTTATATAATCCTAAGAAGAAGTATTCAATTTGCACTTTTTTTCAGACATCAAATGTACTCAATTTAACATAAAAAATATTTTTAATATTTTACTGGTAACTTTTGAATTTTTCAGGTAGCTATGCTCAAGTTTTCCTTATAATCACTCTTTTCTTGAACAGTACAACAGTTCCAAAATAGCCATAGGGTTCATACACTTCTTGAAAAACTACTTATACATTTAAACATACATCTTATTTTTTGAAAACATTCATACGAATTATTTTTATATCACATTGATATATTAACTTCAAAATTTGCAGAAATCTATCTCAACACCTGTGTTTTGTGTGTGTGTGTGTGTGTTTTGAATAACTTCTCTGTAGTAGTACCATTGACCTTATCTTTTTAAATATGCCCTATTAGCAGCATCAGTACTTAAAATGGTTAATAGTTCATTAAGTAAAATTTTTCGAGAAGATTAAGAGCAAAGCAGGGATCCAGTCTTAAAAATTGCTTCATACAGGCATTTTTTTTTTTTTTTCCTAACAATTTTTAAAAGCAATTTCTTGACAAATACTTTAAAAAATTCAGCTTCCTTTTTACCTGGGCAGGCCAAAAAAAGGTGTCTGTTTTTGCCATTAAAATTTAAAATTTGTAGCTTATAATGCTATTATTTCTAATCTTCCTGACCTGAGCTGACAACCAAATCAGGTCCATGAATTTTATTGTAGGCATAAGACAAGGTCTGCACCTGTCAGTAATTTAGGGCCCTTATATATCCCTAATTTTGGTCTCTTTATATGAATTTGCTTAGCTCCATTCCAACTTGAAGGAGAATTGCAGATAATTGAACACATACAAAAGTGCAATTCATGGGACAAAGCCTAAATAAATGACAATATAAAATGAGATTTAAATGCGGAGGGAAGACATAAAAGCTGGTGCACATAGGCACATAAATTTCAGACATAAAAGCTGGTGCACATAGATAACTCAACTTTTGAGATGAACAGACAGGATGTTCTAAGAGAAAATTTCTTGTTAGATGTGTAAATTTGAACTCTTCCAGTAATTATGTCTGCAGATTATAATTTATAACAACCACTACAATTTAGCTATGATAGAATTTGAAAGGAAGAATGGAACTGATGCAAGAGCATTATTGTGCTATGATATTAAAGTACCAGTAAATCAAGAAGCATGCCTTCAATGTTCACAATTAATATATCAAAATGAAGCTGCATCTTGTATTCAGATGGTTTACAGAATTTTGAAGATGTCAAAATCTTCTTCAAATGAACACACAGTAAGACCTTCGTTAGCTATAGCCCCAGGAAATGTGATGATCATTTAAAAACTGTTAATCGATGATAATCACTGTACCTAGTGAACAATACAGAGAGAACTTAACATTGAATTTGCAGTTGTACATAAAATTATTCATGAAGAACTACATATGAAAAAAATTATTAAGTAGTTAGTCTTCCGTAAATTAACAGAACAGTAAAATGTATAATGCTTCAGAATCAGTAAAAAAGCCCTAAAATTGCGTAATGGTGCTGGATACCACATTATTTCTAAAATCATAACTCATAATGAAACATACATACTGTTGTTTGATACTCCAATAGGTCAAGCAAGTAAAATCTCTGAAAATAGCCCCCAAATTCTTTCACCTCAGGCTTCTCTATAATAATGCATCTTCTCATTCAGCAAGAGTAGTATTTCAGTGTCTTGAAACAGCAAGACATTAAATTAATTGAAATTCCATCCTACTTTACTGGTCTTTATATGTCTGACTTTTGACTATTTATTAGTCTAAAAAAATTTACATGGCTATTGTTTTCCTACCAAGGATGAGATAAAAGCACATTTTTCATAGCTCTCAAGAAATGGATGGCTTAAAACATCTTTGAAAAATTCACCTATACACGTACAGTAATGTTGGAGGGAGCTACTATAAATACTCCTATGATTCTGATAAGTTGTAATTTTGCTGTATCTAAAAAATTTCAGTGACCGTCAATCCTGACAATGAAAGCGCAAATCCTGTCAAACAAATCAATGTGTGGCAATCAAATTGCAAATTGTTATGCTAAACTCATGTTGTAATCTTCCCCCCCCCCAAAAAAAAATGCTACAGAAAAACAGCAGTTCCTTTTGTCCTTATTTACAAAAATTAAGACATTCTATTAAGAATCAATTAGGTTTACATAAAACCAAGCCAGAGATCAGTGTTGTGATGACACATTCATCTATTATTGGAGCTAAATCATACAGTTTGCTGAGAGTCTTTGTTTGTTGAGACTGGTAAGTTTAGTTCTCACAACAGACTGACTAAATGCCTATCATGAATTCTCGAATCTCTCATAGTTTCCACCCTTTCTATGAAGAGTCTCCAACTAAAAAGCGAATTTTTGGAACACTATGACGAATACAACAATGGGAAAGGGAGCAATCAACATTTTCAGAAAGAAAGCAGTGTAACTGTATCAACACTTAAGGTATTATAAACAGTGTTCCTGGTGGTAATTTTATATATATTTTATGATGACATTACCAGTATTTCATTTGTTTCTTTACCCATAAAAAAATGTTTAATATTTGAAAACATTCTAGCTTTTAAGCTATCTGGTTACTTGAATGCCAAATAATCAAGTTCTTACTGTATTTAAGAAGAAAAAAAAAAAAAATTCTGAAAGCTTTCAGATTTTGTATTACACCCAAAGGGTTATTTTTTTTTTAACATTTTGTGTGCTACTTTTATTTATTAAATATCCTGTTCTTCGCACTTAAACCATAAAATTCAACTCAACAGCAATATTGCAAAATAATTTTAAAAGAGTACATATACCTTTAGAACTTCCGATACACAGTCTCATGCACTGGAGATAACCCCCCTCCCCCCGGTACAGTGTTGCTATTGCTCGCTTTGAAATCATTGAGTTTGTTAATCAAAAACTCATAAATGCTTTACAAAATATGAAACAGATAATAAAACAAATTCCAAATTTGAGCTTTCAGATGCCCATATTCTGGTGGAGACGTTATTCAAAATTTGATGCCTGTAAGTATTGTTGCTTTATCACAATGCGAGAAAAATACAATTAAATAATGCAGATTCTTCATTATTTAATTTCTTTAAATATAATACAGGGCGATAATATTCAGTGGCAACAATTTGAAAAGTGATTCGATGCAAAATGCCAAAACAAAATTAACAGCCCTTCTGGGCTAAAAAAAAAAAAAAAAAAAAACTACAGAAAACACATCCATTTTAGAATTTTACAGGATTGTAAGAAGCTGAATTTTTTACTCTGATGATATCTACTAATGCACTTCTAAAAATATATTAAAAACAAATATTAGAAAAAAACTGCTTAAAGAAATGTATGACCAGTTGCTTTTTACAAATGTATTTTGAAAAATACACCTGTAACTCTGCACTTTTCACTAACACGAATAACTCACATAATATATAGATACATAGATATCATAGCATGACATTATATGCAAATACCCATAGCACAGAAAGCGTTTGCAAATGATTATTTTTAGATAATTTATCTCATATATCATCAACAGGAGTAGAAAAGCATTTTTAGGTGGAATTGGCATTTTTAGTTCCACCTGAAGAAATGCCTTCATATAGAAATTTGTAAGGAAAATGCCAGCCAACACTTGTTACGCACATACATACTCCCCAAAATACTCTATACATCCAGCCCCTCAATTACGAGGAAATAAATCTGAATTGAACTATCAATGTTTCACACTTTTTAAGTACTTAGCCAATTATAAGGAAATCAGTTATTATTTATCCTGACAGTCCAAAGTATCCATTACATATAAAATATATAATTAATTTCATTTCCAAATTATTAATACTTTCATTTGCATTTTTTACTAGCATATATCCTTTTTATAATAAACACATTTCAAATGCAGTTTTCCAGTGAAAATGAAAGCACTAAACAAAACAATGTAATAAATATCTTAAGATTATTTTATACACTCAATGTTCGAAATACATCAAAACCACTTTGGGCAGTGGAAATTAAGACACCAGGCATCTGTTTATGCCAGTGCAATTCTTTGATTTCTTTTTGGCCTTGGTGGATGAACAGCAATTGAGGTGGCAATGCTAAAATTTCAGGACTTAATTCTTTTCCTTCTTCCTGTACATCATCTCTCTCCACAGCAAGATCCCATTGTGTCAACTGGTCGTCAGCTCCAGAAGCAGCAAAGACTGAATGATCTGTTGGATGCCATTCAACACTGGTAATGGGAGCTGTATGATGTTTAAAGGTGCATATTGGATCCCCTTCCTGTAAAAAAAAATATATATATATATATATATATAATGTTTTTAAATAACAGCAACAATGAAACAACTTATAAAAATAAAATAACAATAAACTCACATATTTCTACTGCACCCATTTTTAAGACTAAAAACATATAGCTTTTAAACTCTTTCAAATAAATTGCATCTATTAAAAAACAAAATATTTCTTGTTTACTTGCTACCATCATACCATCAAAGAAATGGATGGGAACAAGTAATAAATATAACAAAAAGTTTTCATGCTTAATGCTGCAAAGATACCTTTGAGTTAAAAAAAAAAAAAAAAAAAAGTTAAATGAATAGCTGAACATATAAAACAGCCCCAGAACATAATGCACCAACTATCAAATGCAAGTCATATAAAATTGTCACAGCAATGATATTTATATAACACTTTCAAATTCACACTGCCATATGGTATTTGAAAGATAAATTACCTGTTATAAAACATCATATAATTCAATGCTCAAAAAAGCATTTTTATTTTTCAAGATGCTGTTGGTTCTGAGAATTATACTTTCAAATTTTTTAAGTTTTAAGTCAAGCAAGATATTAATTGCTGTCTTAATTTTTTTTTTTTTTTTTTAATGTTGCAGCTTTTGAAAGACATTCATTGTGCATGTTGTTTTTGGAACTTGATTCTAATTGTTTTGAGTTAACCACCTGATTTTTCTTCATTACCTGACATTCTACTTTACACATTAATTATGTAGAAAATAAATGACAGTTATGAAATTTTATAAAAATGAAGGTGAGTTACTATTATCACAGATTTTTCACAAATATCCTGTAAATTTATGTCTTTTTCTCATAGAAAATACATATTTAAAAAGCCAATAAAATATAAATTCATAAAAGGAAATGAATCTGAAAATCTGTTAACTAAAGTTAATACTGTTTTATCAAAGTACTAATACTTTTTTGCATCTGATGCAAGGAATATAATGGCAGTTGTTTAGTAACCGAAATATAACTGCAATAAATAGTTTATTAAAAATTTTAGTTGATTTCTGAAAATCGCATATGAAGCAGTAACCATATAAAGTATAAAACTAAGAAATAAGGATGCTGCCAGCATTTTAAGTAACAAAACATCCACTTCCACTAAATTAAGTTTTACATTAATGAAACTGTATTTTTTAAAAAGGTACCCAAGCAATTTACGCATAAAAGTAAATTTTGCAGCAATTAAAATAATTTGCCACAAAAAATTATTTCCTTTTAAAGTGTTCTAACAGTATGAAAAATTAAAACAGCTCAATTACAAAATACACGGAACGAAACAACTTTCTTTAAAAGAATCTTGAAACCATACAATAATTAAAGAATTATTTGTTATTATTATAAGATGAAAGCTACACCTTTTCAAATTGTCCAACTAAAACAAAAGTAATTACAACTATTATTTAAGCTATGAAATACTTCTTGAATATATAGAGGGTGTTTACACATTTTTGTAATGATTTTGATTTTCTCCATGAATTTGAATATCAATTTTTAAGTACAAATGTGATTGGCATCAAACTGGAATAAGTTTTCATTATCATCTGCAACATTAAAAATATTCTTTTGTTTAAAATGCTGCTGAAAAGCAATAGATCGAAGACTATATTTTTACACTATCCGAAGAAAAATACTCTTATTCAGTTATTAAAAAAGAAGAAGATGTGAAAAGCATGGTTTGAATATTCCTACATGTAAAATACATGACATAATTAATATGAAAGAAAGAAACATCAAAGTTTACATCTGATTGCGAAAAAGGCAAAAAATGCATATCCAACAAAGGTACGTACAGCTCTTATTAAACCTAAAGTTGCATCTCATGTTTTAAAAAAAAATCCAGCCTGCCAAAGCACCACTGCAAAAACCTTTAAATATCTCTATAAGAACTGTGAAAAAAAATATAAAATCTGATTTAAAGCTAATCAAAAAAAAAAAAAAAAAAAAATGCTCATCACCTAATGCCGAAACATACTTCTCAGGGTAAGACTAATGCGCAGATTGATGTATAAAAATTATTTGACAGCTGAAAAATGGAAATACATAGTTAAAATTGTTGAGGCTTGGATACACAGTAAGTCTGAAATCTTGACTCGTTGGGACTACGATTATGCATTTGGGGATTTGTCCAGATATTAGATCATCAGTTTAAATCTAGTAAGATGGCATGCAGAAATTATAAAATTAAAAATATGAAATTGTGATTAATGAAATAATGAAGTATTTATGATCTAAAGGGTATCAAAATTTACAAAAAAAAAAAAAAAAAAAAAAACTTAATATTTGTTTGTTTACCTTATTAAATATTTCTTTCAATGTAAGTTGCTTCGTTTTTTGTGCTAATACTTTTTCTTCAATTCTCATAATCTCTTGTTTAGTTACATTGTTGAAGTCCTGTAGCTGCTATTTCAAGAATTCTAACAAACTTGTCAATCGAAATTTTCTCGTTTTCAATAACTTCTCTGTCACTTCTTCACTATCGGTAGCGGTATTTTCTGGATCTAGAACCATACTACATATTTTGCCATTCATTAATTGATAGATGATTGAGAAGCATTGTCATCACAATGAAAACTTCTTTTTTATCATCTTCATTTATTACTGCTTCACATTTCTTTACAAAAATTGTTAATTGGAAAATTTCATCTTTGTTTTGTGATATCCGAAAACCTTTAAAATTAGCGGCTATCATCATCAAATTTAGCTATTCTTTACTATACATATTTGGCTATGCATCATGTGCTTGGCAACTAACTACAAGTTGTTCCGTTAAATTTTATCTTGCTTCTATCGCTCACTGAGACAATTAAGCCTGAATTATATTAGTTTAATTATTTATTATATTTATGTCTATTTCTTGCACATGTTTAAGGCTTATCAGAGTTCTGAATAAATAAATTCGCACCATATACTTAAGCCTTATTAAGGGCCGGTACTAGATATCTTATCGCCTGATTCAGTCTCTGTGGGTCCTAAATTATGTGACTCGATGCTGCCATACGAGCCCTGGCACTAGTTTTGGGTTTATGTGAATAACAAATCAGTTATTCTTAATTCAAACAGCCCTAAATGTAATCTTTGGGTCTATGAGTATCATCAACAAAATCTATTTTTAGCATATGGAAAGAAATTTTTGGTAAATTCCCTGTCAACATTTTTTAGCACATTTAACTTAAATCTGTAATCATCGCCAAGCGTAATGTCACCATAAAAAGTTATCACACTTCTTTATTATTCAATTACTAACATAAAAAAGTGTTAAGGCACTGCTACATGAGTCATTACTCAATTTGTCATGTTTTGATAAACATGCGGTGATGAAAGGAAAGTATAATAAAAAATTATTCGCCAGGTTGGCGTCAGATCAACGATGTATCTATGTGGAATGTTTCTGTTTGAGATGTATGCCAAGCAGATATGCAGCAACGAAGCCAAATTACTGATCATACAAATTTTTGCTAAAATAATTGTTTCTTCAGTAACAAGGTACTATTTTATTTAGTGCCAAAGTGAAATTAAGAATTGGGACTCTCCAGATGTTTTATTATTCGTGCAGGGCATTTGATTTCGCATCAAATGAATGCGCATTCAAGCATGAGTATAGCCTACGAGAAAACGTTGGTGGTGGTTTTGAGGTCCGGACTTTAGATCATTCCGGATAATGGATGTCCAGATTTCAGACTTTGAACTATACTTATCTGACTGCAATAGAAAAAGATCAATTTACTACCGAAAAAGAATTAATTTTGGGTTAATTTAGGTTTAGAATTAATTTTTCTAAAGGTTTTATGGTTATTACAGGATTCTCTTATAACAGAAAACTTAAAACAAGGAAAGTAGAACAAAATGTCAAAATTAATTAGGATTATTATCAGAAATATGTTTTAACACCTATATTCAAAGAAGAATTTCCATCTCTTTATCCAAAAAATCTTCACTATGTTAAGTTCCATCAGGATAAAGCTCCAAGCCATGCCTCTAAATCTATTGCTCTATTTTTTGAAAAAATAAGAAACAAAACCGGAATTGAAGCCATTCCCTTTAAATGCATTCCACCCAAGTACCCTGATGTATCTTCTATGGATTACTGCGCATTCAAAATTATAAAACAAGCTATTTATAAGTGGCATCCCAAAACACTGGATGGACTCTGGAAGATTGTGAAGAATAAAATCAACCTTCATGTTTTAAGAAGAGGACTTTTATCTTCGAAATCGAGATGTAATATGATTGTTCAATCCAAAAGGGCCATCAGACTGAATATATTAGAAAATAAAAATTCTAAGGTTTGTTTTATATAAATCTTTGCAAAATCATTACAAAAATATGTGAAACCCTCTGTAGTCAGTCATACAGACAAAGATAATACATATATTAATAAACATTCCAATCAGCAGCAACATTTACTTGGTTTAATTAAAACTCTTTTGATTTAGATTATGAACTATTTATAAGACAGCTATACTTACAGGAAACTTGCGGAGGTCCCACACTCTGAGTTTTCCATCATCACCACCAGAAAGGATAAAAGGTTCACTCTTATTCCAGCTGATAACATTTACATCACTATCATGAGCATTTTGCCTTGTTAACATACAAGCTTTGTTGCTGGAGGCTCTGATGTCCCATATTCTGATAGTTTTATCAACTGAACATGAAGCCATTACCTAGTCATAGATTTTTTAAAAACAAAAATTATTAGCAAACAAAAAAAGAAAAGAAAATAGCACATTGTTTCAAACTAATTTTACAGCAAAAAAAAATTAGCTCATTTAATACAGTTGAACCCTGCTATCATGAACACTAAATCCTGGTAACAGTATACCTTATGAACCCTATAATGAACAGTAATCTTTTTTATCATATCTAACTTGCTATACACTTTAATATTATTTTATACTCTTATAGCAAGCCTCCAAGACTATGAAAAGGGGATATAATGAATTATACATATGGATATTGTGGATATAATGAATTATACATATGGATATCGTAGCTTAAAACATCTTTTGTGTTTTTCATATTTTTTCCAGAATTTCTACAAGTTTTAATGAAAAAAATTACTATGCGTTAAAATCATCAGTGCTTAGAATATTAGGCTTCACACTGCTAATTCCATCTGGAAAGGTTACCTCTACATGACTTTTTTTTTTTTTTTTTTAATTTTATTTTCACCCTCCCTTTTCTCTTTTTTCAAAGGTTATATGAAACAGATATGAGTACACACGTAACTTTATTAGACAAACAAAGGTCAAATTTAAACAAATGTCATGCGAGACAGATAAGACAGACACCTAACTCTAGGAGAATGAGAATACAATAAGCATATTTTGGGAAACCATACAGTGTACATGAACACTGAACCAAAAAGCATGTTCTCTGATTTCATTAAAATTATTTGAGTCAGATGGAACTCTATTCAAGGCTGATGCTATAATGAAAATTTTGAAATGTTTGCTTTTCAGGGAAGGAGTACCAAATCTTATGGGCATGACTCTTTTCATGATTTCATGATTCTTCTTTCAGGAAATGAAAAGTTTCAATCATTATAAATTTTTGGTGTATAAATGCTAGCCAACTTTTATCATCTGAACCAGAATTTTATATTTTTAAGTTTTTGCAAGACACAACATATTCGTAAAGCTTATTGAATCTTTGTGCTGCAACCACACATATCTTGGAGGAAGTGACTGTGTTCTCTTTGACATTGGATAAGATGCACTGGTGATGACAATATCTATCTTTTTCACATTTTCCAGAAAAGAAAATCTCTCACATGAGTTAACCAAACTCCCTGTTTTTTTTTTTTTTTTTTTTTTTTTTTTTTTTTTTTGCCTGTGTAAAAAAATTCAACTATGTGGTGAGCTGCAAACATAAAGATTTTGCATTCAAAATGAAGTGAATATTATTCAAAAAATACAAAATAGACGCAGCCAAATCAATATTTGGCAGAAATAAAATTTATTAGATCTACAGTTGGTATCACATGGGAAAAAAAAAAAAATTCTGTAACTTCTGCTCATAGAAGAAATTTAGATGCAAGGAAAAAGTTAAGAGTTAATATAGGGATATTGATAAAACACTTATGAAATGGTTCACCATTTCAAAGAAGCTGTAATCTGCCATTATATGTACAAATGCTAATGAATTTATCAGACTCCCTGAATAGACTACAAATAATTAAAAAAGTAATAACAAGTGTACATAATAATAATTGCAATTAAATCTGATTTTTTAAATTAGATTTATTATGTGTTTCTTTTTGTAAACACAAGAATGTTAATCAGTTTTTTCCCCTTTATCCATATTTAATGTTTGCATGTTTTTATAAGTAACCCATTTTTCTCATTGGATCTTTTTTTCTTATCTCAGTACAAAATTAATTCAATAATCCCTCGGTGACTTCTTAAAGCTTCATAATAAAGATTTTGGCATAATTTAATTTTTAAATCATACAAAAATAGCAGCAAAATTTTTATTTTAAGAAAAACATCTGAATACATTTATAAAATAAACTAAAATTAAATTGCTATAAATAGTTGCTCTAAACTTACATGAAAGGAAAATATACATCTATATTCTAATACTATTTGTTTCCGGTTAAAATTCTCCAACCTGAAAATCTTTTCTGTTTTTCATTTCATTAAGGTTAAACCCCTATCACATACGATATTTGTTGCCAGAACAAAACGTTTGGTGGAACAGTTCTGAGAAATGCTCTTTCACGAAATAGGGTTACCATCTTCACTTGGTAAACAGGCTGAAAGCCAAACAAGAATCAGTTATCGCTCAGATTGGCGAAAGTGACATTTCCTTTCAAGTGACGTTTGCTTCTTCGTGTTTTTTGTATCGCTCACACTCTTTTCGTTTTAAACCTTACTGTTCGTAATGGAAGATAATAGAAAGGTGTTTGCTATCAAGTTAATCACTTTGATCTCCACTCTGGCACTTCAAGTAACAGATAAACACACTTCTGGTTATAGCATACATCAGTAATAGCCAAGTTCTGTATACACTAAATAGTTTATCACGGGTGCTGGATAAGTCTATTTATCAGACATTACTTATGTGTATTTACTGTTGTCTGCATTCCACTGAAAATTTGATAGCTCACTGGAAAATTTGTGACCTGGTGAAAGCATTTTCTTGACTAACTTTATGGCTCATAATTACTGTTCTGTCCATTCAAACAAACAGACAAAAAAAAAAAAAAAAAAAAAGACCTCCTATGACAAAAATCTATATGGCTGATATTTACATCCTCACAGCTAGCAGATACTATTCAACAAAATAAAGATCAAATAAAGCACATGAATACATGAGCAATCAAACATGTGCAGTTTACTGTCCCATAGAACACTCGGTAATATACCTAAAACACATTAATTATACCAACTCTAGAAATTAGATAGTGCACATCATGAGTTTCTTTTATGTGATTATGGCAAAGCCTCGAGGGATATCTGCCTAACAGGAAGGATCCCTTTGTAGATTTTTCAAAAACTGGCTCGTATACCAGTTACAAATGGGAAAAACCAAGAAAACGTCCATCTAGCCAGCCCCTTCCCGGCATTCTAACTTGAGACAGAACTACCAGTGTTCAATGACGCTTCGGCTACTAGTAGGCCCGTGCACTTAATTGGAAAGTACAATTCATTATGTAAACAGACATGAAGGTGATAATCAGTTGTGCACTGTTTTAAGTAATCAAATGTTATAAATGCATAGCTGTTACATTTCTTATTATTTATTAGTCATGTTTTATATTACATAGATCATACATATGATATAATTATGAATTAACCCAATAACAAAATGTGTACACTCTTTAGTACTCAAATGCTCATCAATTACTTTTCAACTGACTAGATATCCATAATAATTTGCAAAGAACTGATGACTACAGTTGCTGCCAATTACATGATCATTATATGAATTAAAAGTAACTTCAAATAAACTTTTTGGCAATGTTCATTTTTGTATTCATACATACATATATATACACATCTAATAAGTCATATATTTACATACAGATAGAGAGATGCGATAGTTTAGAAGTTGTTGATATATTTTTATTAGTATTAATGTAATGAATAAGATTTATATTAATGAATGTATATACAAATGTTTTTCATCATGCATAATAATAAATCCATAAATTTCCAATGTTTCAATATGTAGCATTTACAATAGAAGTATAGTTTCTAATGTATTTATAATCCAAAAAGTTTTTCATTAATAACATGAAAATAATAGACAAATTTAATGAGTATTCTCATTATTACATAAGCTATGCTTTTCTTTTTTTTATGCATCTTTTATGCTGTTTAAAATGTGTCACTGATTATGCAATTAACAATTTAAAAGATAAGTGATTAGGAGAAAAGCCGTGCATGTACAAACGGATTTTAAAAAATTATTCAACTTAAATTTAAGAAATAAAATTCTATTATATAACAGTGATAATTACACGATCAGCACGAAATACGACAAATTTGGCGAACTTTTGGTGACGAACAATTTGTAAACAAATCCGAGCTGCAAGAATGTTGTAAATACTGTCAACTCTGAAATTTCCATGATTATATATTTAATGAATATATAAACATTTTTAAAATGACTCAGGCAGTTATATTACAACAAAACAGCAATGATTCCATCGGCCTCTATTTCCACCATCCATGACTTCACAGTGAGAGCCATTGCCATACCATAACTGCCAACCTCTAAAGATAAAAATTCAGAAGATTTCTTCCCCAAATTCAGAAGATTTCTCCAAAATTCAGAAGAACACGAAGAATTAATATCATGCTTTGATATTAAAAAAATAACAATTCATAGAAAAAGAAAAAAGAAAATTGTACTTACATTAGTAAATCTCAATTAAGTAGTAACTAAAAAATTACATTAGTAAATCTCAATTAAGTAGTAACTAAAAAATGTATTAGGAAACATAAAACAAGAACTTAATGTTACACAAAAAAATTATTGCAATGAATTTAGAGTGCATTTTTTGGCCTTAGCCAAAAATTCTTTGGAAAATTTCCTGTCATAACAATTAGTTTCCTCATAACATTTAGCAATTAAAATGTTTTCTAGAGTTTTTGGTGAAATTGAAGAACGAAACATAGTTTTGTTTTTCTTCACAACACTGAAGACTCTCTCGCACTCAGCATTACTGTGTGGAATTACGAGAATAGCACATAATTGCTTGCTAGTCTATCATATTTTGGTGTTCCATCAGCTCTTTTTATTCTTTTTAAGGTACCAACCAACGAGGACATAAAATCCATTTTCTCCAGAACTGGCAAAGTCTTCAAACTGTGCAGCAGAAAATTGGTTCTGTAGTTCATCTAAAGCATCATTATGGCATTCATTTTCTTTAATTGTTAACAAAAATGGAAATTTATCAATAAAGAAACGAATCTTTTCAAAAGATGAATTTTCAATTTGTTTCAAATTTGCCACTTCAGCATTTAACAGAACTTCATTTTGCAATAGAAACTTCCTTACAATGTAATCACAGGCTGAGGAAGAGTACTTTCTAACACATTGAAAAAATTCTTTTTTCTCATGATCTTTCAAAGAATTTACAAGTTCCCTGGTTTGATTTCCAATTATAAGATCATTGTCATCCTTTTGATTTGCCAAACTATTATAGGCAACA